AAAAACAAAAAAAAAATAAAAAAAAAAAAAAAAAAACAAAAAAAAAAAAACAAAAAAAACAAAAAAAAAAAAAAAAAAAATAAAAAATACAAAAAAAAAAAAAACAAGAAAAAAACAAGACAAAAAAAAAAAAAAAAAAAAAAAAAAAATAAAAAAAAAAAAAAGAAGAAAAAAAAAAAAAATAAAAAAAAAAAAAAAAAAAAAAAAAAAAAGAAAAAAAAAAAAAAAAAAAAAAAAAAAAAAAAAAAAAAAAAAAAAAAACAAAAAAAAAAACTATACTGTACATTAATGCTGTGGAAAGACTTCCTGTTCACATAGTCTCCTTCATTTACTGAAGGAGCAATGATTGGAATGTGAGTGCCATCTGTACAGCCAATCACGCCTGGGAACCGCTGAAAATAAATGTAAAATTTAAGTAGTAGTTCAAGTATCACCACATCATGAATTAAGTTTTGTTCATCCTGTACCTGCAATTTTGTGGCATCCCTCTTTGATAAATCTTGTGGGTCTATGACCGGGGAACACCACAAACGAGTACAGGAGACGTTTCAGTGCAACTGTAACATTCCTGACTGCCCGACAGACGGTAGCCTTGGAAACGTGCTCAGCGTCACCAATATTATACAGAAAGCTCCCGTTTGCAAAAAACCGAAGTGCATACAAATAATATGTAATGAACTGAGAGCATGTCCGCGATGTCACATGCGTAATATATGGCCTGAGGATGTTAGTCCAAATAACTTATAGATTGTGCTGAGAAACGGTAACGTTCACACAGAAACTCATCAGGAAATGATAAAATGTCCAAACGCGATCTGATCACTCTCTCCCGGCGGAGAGCTCTGCGGAGAATTTGGGCTTCACGATCTACCGGCTCTTCACGGAAGGGACACGCCATGTCTGACACTTCCTACTGTCAGGTTTCCGACAAAGGGGCGGGGTCAGTCAGGGTTAGTTGTGGTAAACCTGCTAGGGGGCAGGTTAGCTTCACGGCGTGTGTCGTCATAGTGACTCACTCAGGCTGCAGCTGAACTCGCTTTGTGAAACCGAAAAACCAGCGTTTTCGTTAACTCAGGGTATACTTACTCAGTTTTTCCACTAAACCGGCTTCCTGAAACAGGGCCCAGTTCCCCAAGACAGAACCATGACTTAAATATTCTCCTGAGAACTGTGGAAAAATTAATCTACCCACTTTTTTCTGTGATTTCCTTCCTTTGGATTTAAAAGAGGCTACGCAAACATGTTAGATGTCAATGGAAATCCCAGGATGTCCTCTGTTTTGTACATTATGACTTAGTAGGGTAGCTCAAATAAGTCAAAAGATAAGACCAAAAACATGTCCATTACAGAAGACATAAATAATAGAGGCTGGTTCTCAGGAGGTATATATTGGAGTTCATAGTATTTCCCTTATTAGACTTCATTGGCTTCTGTCAAAATGTAAATGAATCACCCACCACTTTAATCCACTCTGATCATTTTTTAGACATATGCGTCTAGAAACTGGCATTTAACAGTTTCCCTGAAAACCCTCTCTGTCTGATCATTTAAAATGTAACCTTTGTGCCCTCCTCAAATTTTGCACCCTTTCGACACCTTGTGGACAAAAATACACACAAAATCGGCCATAAAATCATCATACAAAATATATATTTTCTGCTTTTTAAAAAAAAAAATCACTTAATCGGCTCGAGCCCTTTTCCAAATGATCAAACGTTAAATTATTTTCATGATTTTAAGATTTTAAACACCAGTTTAAACAGTTGAAAGCAGAATTTAATTTGTAAAACCAGATTAACAGATAAAATTATACCAATGAACCATCCAGTGTAAGACCAGCAAAGAACGGTGAATCAGAGAACAAAGTACATATGGTCAGTGTTGGGAAGGTTACTTTTAAAATGTATTCCACTACAGAATACATGCCCCAAAACGTATTTTGTAACATATATTACCGGGAAGCACTAGCTGGTAGTCGGGCCGTACGCGTGTCTTAGTGCAGTTGAACATAATCCACAAAGTCCGCTTGTAGTCGAAAAACAAACAGGCAAACATTTATTTCCACAGTTTGAAATACAGTGATCCATTTGGATGTTCCTGTACACTGTAAACACGGTAAGAAACGGTTTTTCTCCACAGCTAGTTAAAGCCCCCGTAGCTCCACACTGCCCGTCGCTCCCCCCGTGCACAGTTACCGTGTGTTAAAGGAACAGTACGTAAAAATTAAATAAGGCAAGAAAAAATACAATTTAACTGTAAATCTTACACTAAACAAATTATAAAGTAAAAACTGAAATTCCCCATTATCTTACACTTATCCTTATCCAAAATGATTCAAATTATTAACAAATATACACTCTGTGCAATCTGGATAAACTAAGAGATGATTAGACCTTTATCCTATACACATATTCCGTTATGTTACTCAATAAGTGTAACGTATTCTGAATACTTTGGATTACTTAATATATTATCATGCTTTTTACAACTACAGGACTATTGCTGTGTGATTTTTGCAGGGATCTCGTAAAGAAAACTGTTCGGCACAGATAGAAAAAAGGTCCACGGCTCCCTACCGTAAGGGACCTCTGGCTAAAACGTCGGGTTGTGTGTCGGGCTAATAATTGAAAACTAGCTTTACTTTGTTGTCTGGGTCAACTTTGCTAGCGAGAGACAGAGAGAGGCGTTGAAAGGCTGCTCCAACAGGTTTCGGAGGAAAACACGAACACAGTGTACAGTCAATTCTTAATAGCTTACACTGCCCATGAGGCTACATTTGTCAGGTCTCTGTGTGCGGACAGGTGGAGATGTGGATCCAAATGGAGGACTCTGAGACGGAAACGTAACTGAGGACCACAGCTTTATTGCTGGCACCAAACAAAAACAGAAATCAAACCATGAAAACGCAAACTGGAACACACAGGCAGGATCTGAGGGTACGACACGACACTGAGCACAGGAAAACACAGGGCTAATATACACAGGGTGGTAATCAGGGAATGGGCAACCGGAGGGAGACACAGGTGTGAGAAATAGGACTAACGAGACAGGAGGAGCAAAGCTGGACACTGACAAAAGACACAATCCTTCAAAATAAACAAAAAGAAACAAAACGAAAAACAAGGAGCAAGAGTCCAGAATAGTCCATAAAACAAGAAAACTATTCAAGAACTCAAGAGTCCAGGAATACATCATTGATACAAAACAAAACTGGACTGGAGCTTAACACAAGTCCAAGAAAAGTTCAGGGGGTCGACCCGGAGGTTGACAGCACAGGGCCAAAACAGTTCAGGGGGCTGGCCATGTGGACAGCAGCAGCAGCGACACAGACAAGACCAATCAGGTGGCCGGCCACGTGGAATGCAGTGGCGACGACAAAGCAGGTCCAGAGGCCGGCCGCAAAGCCAGCGGCGGCGACAGAACAGGTCCGGAGGCCGGCCACGTGGAAGGCAGCAGGGGCGACGACCTCGTTCAGAAGGCCGACCTCGATGACCATGTCGTCCAACTAGAGGCCTGGAAAGCAGCCAGCAAAGGCGAGGTGGTACAGGCCGAGCTGGACCTGAGGACGGTGTAGCAATGGCAGGACCAGGTGAGCCAGGACCAGGCGAGGATGAAGACACACAAGCGAGGCAGGACCAGGCGAGGATGAAGACACACAGGCGAGGAAGGACCAGGCGAGGATGAAGACACACAGGCGAGGCAGGACCAGGCGAGGATGAAGACACACAGGCGAGCCAGGACCAGGCTCGCATGAAGGCGTGACGGCTGCGGGACCTGACGGCAGTGTGGCGGCTGCGGGACCAGGCAGTGATGCTGCAGGCGGTGATGCTGCTGTTTCTTTGTTAGAGTTCTGTCTTTTGGTTTATGTCTCTGTCTTCTCTAGTTGCTCTGTCTCCCCTGTCAGCTGTATCCCCTTGTCTAGTTCGCGTCTCTGTGTATCCTTAGTTGCTATATCCCCGTGTCCAGTCAGTGTCTGTGTCTGCCCTGGTCCCACGTCTCTGTTCCCTCTGTAGTGCCTGCATGTGAGTCTGTGTCTTTGTTCAGTCTGTGTTTGTGTGTTCCTGTTTTACTTTGAAGGTCTCTGTCTTATCTCTTTGGGGTGGCTGTAGCTCAGGTGGCAGAGCAGGTCAGCCACTAATCAGAAGGTCGGTGGTTCAATCCCAGGCTGCCTCCTGGCTGCATGCCAAATATCCTTGGGCAAGATACTAACCCCATGTTTGCCTACTGGTGGTGGTCAGAGGGCCCGGTGGCGCCAGTGTCCGGCAGCCTCGCCTCTGTCAGTGCGCCCCAGGGCAGCTGTGGCTACAATGTAGCTTGCCATCGCCAGTAGTGTGTGTGTGAATGGGTGAATGACTGAATGTAGTGTGAAGCGCTTTGGGGTCCTTAGGGACTAGAAAAGCGCTATACAAATGCAGGCCATTTACCATTCAGTGTGTTCAGTTGACGCTTCCTTGTCTCGTCAGTTCTGATTTGCCCCCAGCTGTGTTTCCCTCCTGTTACCCATTCCCTGATTGCTCCCTCTGTGTATTTAAGCACTGTGTTTCTCTGTGTCTGTGTCGCGATCTACCGTTTACCTAGCTGTGTGTTCTGTCAGTCCTCCGGTTTAAAGTTTATTTTGATTTTTTCCAGTTATGTTATATTTTGAGTTTTACATTAAAGCTGTTTTGAGTTCACGACTGTCTCCAGAGTCTGCACCTTGGGTCCTATTCCTGTCTGCACACAGCCACACATAACAGTGTAGGCCTGATTATTGTTATTATCCCAATCACGATGCTGTCTGTTAACATCTCCTGTAGGACATGTGCTTGAAAAGTTTGCCCAGCCTCCCTCTCCCAACTTTATCACCGGCAGGTGCCTCAGCTCTGCCATGGCGTCTGAAAAAGTGTTTGTTTTTTTTCTTTTTATTCTTAAGATGATTGTACAGCTTAAAGCATCATCTTCTTTTCAAATCCTGTGCTCCTACATTTCAGCCTTTTTATCATTAGTTGGGTTTGGAACATTTTTTTGGGAGCAACTGAAATACAAATGAGTGGTGAATGTAGTTAATCAGAATTGCCAGGACAGACATAAGAGCAACTGGAAAAGTCACTTTTCAAAGCATAAAGTGACTACTGTCTGGAAGCAACTTCATTGCACACTGTGTGAAGTTGGAAGTACACAATGATAGTGCTCACAGTGATCAGAGACTTTAGTTGTACAACTGCACTTTCTTGATTTTATTCCACATCAATTTCATAAACTCATAACGCAAATACAAGCTCTTTGCTCCTGTTTGCGTCAACAACAATGTGTAGTTTGAGACATGCCCCCGCAGTTGTCACTAAAGAAATTCAGCTGCACTTTTATTTTCTTTTTGAACAGCCCTAAACCATTTTTTTCTTTAAAGGAAGTTACAAAAACATAGTCGAAATCTGTCTAAAGTGTGAAGAACAAAATAAGTGGTGTGAAGTTGACACCCTACAAACACGTTTATCAGAGAAGTTGGTGTAATGGACCAGTGTGACATGACTTTTGCTATGAACACTGATAGGGTGACTTGTACAGTATTTTCTTTCATTAGTTTACAGTCAGTCACAACTTTGTTGTATTGGACTAAATGTGCAATGTTTGCTCAGTTCCACTATGGTTCACCTAGCTCTGAGCAGGTAACCTATATGCCTAAAGGACTCCTGTAAGTGAGTGAGTTTGAGTTCCTGCGACTCATTCCTCCCCACCTCTGTCACCGGAAGTCTTTTTTTCTTGCTTATTTTGTTTATGTGCAACCACAAAAGCGAAGAGGGGAGGGGAAAAAAGACTTTTACAACTATTTAATATAAAATGGGTTGACAGTAGGTATAGTTTATTTACAGTATACGTCATGCTATAACATAAAAGGCAAATGTAAAGCCAACAACAAAATGAAATGTAGAATTGTAACTAAATTAAGGCTTAAATGCATATAAAATGGCAAAATATTCATTCATAAATCAATTAAAAAAATACATATTCAAATAAGGCTGATGCTTTGATTACACAACCAAGAAGGAAAAAGCTTATTGTCAAATAATGGTGGTGGAAGTCTTGCCACCACATTGGTTTATTTTAAGACCAGATTAAATACAAAACAGACAAAACAAATAGCGCACAACACACACACTCACACACACACACACACAAACAAATATAAATTTGGCAAGATAAGTGATTATACATTGCCATTTTTTCAGTTTTAACTTAAACTGAGAGTAACACATGTTTGGGTTACAACATATAACATTTTTTAACTCCACCCATAAGAAGCAAAAACCTCTGATTTTAAATTTGGCCCCTGTGAAGCACTGTACTGCTTCCATCTTGCATTTTCCATTTGCACTGCCCATCAGAGTCACACATACATGTGCAGGTTCTGTGTCAAATGGACTTCTATGTTGAGCATCATCTCGGTGTTCAGCGGAACAGTCCACGGTATTCATGCCCCAAGGTGGCGCATCAGGTTGAGAGCATGACCAGGAGCATACTCATTTATTTTTAACCATAAGCCTTCAATTCATAACACAGAGCTTTACAGTCACTTTCTGAGAGACATCTAGAATCTTCAGCGTAAACAACCTGAACTGTGACGTTAGCCCATGGGGCATTGCAGACACGGCAGTTTCCCACCAGTGTTTGCCCTCCACCCCCTGCATGTGCACTTGTTTCCCAAAACATTTAACTTGTGAGTAAATGAGTGAAATTCAGTCCACCGTTTACTCCCAGGTCCTGGGAGCAATCTAAAGTTAACAGAAGCACAAAAAGTGACTCAGAGGTGAAATAGAAGATAACCTTGAAAGCTAGAGTGATTAAAGGTTATCACGTGAGGGCTGTTTTTGGTATTTTGCCTTTTATGGGTGGAGTAATGAAACATTGTTCCTTGCATTTGTAACACTACTGAATGCAGAAACTCTTGCATTCGTTGTATGACAGCTTCTATTTCATTTTTCAGTGGCTTGGAGGTTTATTTAGTATATTTTTATGAGACACTTTATAACAGTGCTCATCATTCAGAACTTTTAAACCTTGACCAGATTAAACTGAGTTCTCCAGGATTGCTTTGAGCATATTTGTTTAACAATACAAAAACTAAAATTAAAAAAAAAAGAAGAAAAGAATTAAAAACTAAATTTGATAATGAGTCACAGCGGCTCAGATTGAACTTGGCAGCAGGCTGAAAATAATAAGAATAATAAGATGTGTGTATTACGGTCATGTGGTTGATGAAACGTTGCTGACGAAGCTGACATGAGAAGTGGCACGATATACATGAATAGCTACACAGTATATAAGCATTCACTTTTATGTTAACTTGGCCACTCAGCTAATGGAAGACTATTTCTGATGCAAATATATTTATTTTGTAAAGAGTAAAGAAAGTAAAGGACTGTATAAAAAAGACAAATAAATCTGTGAAACACACAAAAAAAAGGTTAAAAAGGTTTTCCATGTAGCTGCCTGGAGCATTTTTTTTTTCCTGTGAAGTCACATAGAAAAATGAAATTTTAGGCCTGTGATTTTCAGGCCGGAAAGTGCTGAGAAATCATCTTTGGATGCCCCCGATAATACTGTCTGGTCAGCAAGGAAGGACAGGAGGATATACTCAATAAAAGAGCACCTCGTCACAAAATACTGGCAATCTGGCACATTTTTTTGGATCCCAGTAGCGGGCTGTGTGGTTCATCAGAGGACCAAAGTGACGATGTCACAGAAAACAGGAGGGCAGGAGACGCGTGAAGGGCTCAGATGAGGGAGATCCGTATAGGGATGGCGGGAGAGTCTGTCCTGTGATGAGGGGAGTGATGAGACACCACGTGTTCCACCACTGCGTGTTTAGACATGTGTTTCATAAGGTAGGTCTCCTGAGAAGAAGCAGAGGAAAGCTATTTAGATGTGACCGTTGCCCCTTAATTGAGACTTAAAAACATGACTCGGGTTTTGAACTCACAGAGGTGTACGACCTGCCGCACATGCTGCAGCAGTAGGCCTTGGCGTTTTTTATGGCATGTGCAGACAAGTGGATTTGAAGTGAGGCAGAGTCTGAGTAGGCACGGTAACAGTTGGAACATTTGAAGGGCTTGTCTTTGTTGTGCTGCCTCTGGTGAGACTTTAGAGAGAAAACACACGCACACAAAGCCAAATGGTCATCAGGCAAGTTTAAGGGGAAAAAAAAAAAGTACGTCAGAGTTCATGTTTACCTACCTGCAGATTAGACAGCTGCGTAAAAGCTTTTTCACATCCAGGATGGGCACATTTATAAGGCCGATCCCCTGTGTGGATTCTGAAACGAGAAAAATGAACCAACAGGTGAGACGGGAAGCCGGCAGCTTGCAGATGTTTGCAATCTACTTAGTTTTGAATGAATTCAAATGATTGCTCAAGTTACAAGGACATCTGCACAGCAATGAATAATAAGTGTCGTCAGTGAGGTTAATTCGGTCATGGAAAGTGGAAAAAAAAAGAAAATGCCAGCAAAAAGCAACACAGATGCTTGAAAGAATGGTCAACCTTTAGAATAAAGTCTCTCCTTTGAAGCAAGAAAGAGACTTCTTTCCACTTTTAGGTCTGTACTTGATGATGGCGATGTGACATATATGCATGTGTCCTCAGAAGCCTTATTTAATACTGGGTTGTTTGGTCAGGCTGGGTGGTCTCCTTTGTCATGTCATGAACTGGTAACTCATTTATAAGGCTATTCTTGATTTGTTCACATCTTACTCACTGACTTACATTCACCAAAAAGTTGAATTTAATTCAATTTCCTTTATATAGCATCAAATCACAACAACAGTTGCTTCAAGGTGCTTTACACAGTAAGGTAAAGACCCTATAATGATAAAAAAAAATAGAGAAATCCCCAACAATCATATGACCCCCTATGAGCAAGTGCTTTGGCGACAGTGGGAAGGAAAAACTCCCTTTTAACAGGAAGAAACCTCCAGCAGAACCAGGCTCAGGGAGGGGCGGCCATCCGCTGCGGCCGGTTGGGGATGAGGCAAGGAAGACGGGACAGGAGACACGCGGTGTTAAAGAACCAAAGATTAATAATGTGAGAAGTTATTGGTTATTCCTTTAGTTTTCCCCAAAGGTTTGTACTGAATTTGGAAAAAGAGCAATCAAATTTTCAGCTTCTTTCTCCTTGAATCAGCTGCAGAATCAACTAAAACTTAAGGAACCGGTCTCAATTAATGAATTTAAGGCAATTTCAAGTGAGTTCAATGCAATTACTTTAGCCTGCAAATGTTTTTGCTGGAATATTATTACCTAGAAAATTACTTTTATTGACACCCGAGGTTTATATATTTTGGTTGTTTCTGCATTTATTTATTTATTTACAGCTGATTGCAAAGAGAAACTGTGACCATAATCTTCTCTTGTCCAAAGTACATGTTCAGTATAAGTTCATGTAATTATCTGTCAAGGTGAAAAATGAAGCTGCCTTCATGACATGAAAATCTCTAAGTTCAACACACTTAGCTTACCCATTACTCTCACGTCATGTTAAAACCATGTGGACTTCTGATGGTTCTGCCTCTTGTGGACGCTCTCTATATAATCATGTTCATGACTTCTTGCTAATTAGTTTTGAGATTTTCCATCAGTTGATTCATTTTTAGTATTACACGACTTTTCATTCTTTTGTTGCTTGCATCAAACTTCAGAATGAACATTGAAAAGAAAACTATACTATTTCTTAGTGTCTGGCTTTATTATGTTGTCATGGGACTATTTAAATTAAATACAGAGTTTAAATGAGTTTAAAAAAAGATGCATTTTCTTTTCTTTGCTTGTACCTGGTTGGCTGCCCTTTTGCTTTGAACAGCTTTTAATCTTTACGGCATAGATTAATCGAGGTACTGGAAACATTCCTCAGAGATTTTGAACCATATTTATATGAGAGCATCACAGTTGCTGCACATTTGTCCGCTACACATCAACGATGCCAATCTTGCCACCCCAAAGTTGCTCTATTTGATTGATATTAGGAGACTGTGGAAGGCCATTTGAGTACAGTGAATTCACTGTCATGCTCGTGAAACCAGTTTGAGGTGATTTGAACTTTGTGTAATGGTGTGTTATCCTGCTGAAAGTAGGCATCTAAGTACAGATGGGACTAAGGGGTCCAAACCATGCCAAGGAAATATCCCTCACACCATTACACCATACTTTATGCCAAATTCTTACCCTACAATCCCGATGTCATATCAGAATTTATGAATCTGAGGCCAGACAATATTTATTCCAATACACTGTAGTCCAGTTTTGGTGAAGTTCAGTTTCCTGCTCTTAGCTGACAGGAGTGGCATCTGGTGTGGTCTTCTTCTACTATAAGCTCATCTGCTTCAAGGTCAAAAGTAATGTTTGTTCAGAGAAGTAGTTGAACAGTCAAAGCTAATAAAATGAATGTTTATTTGTACATGTCACAGAGAATTCCAACCTTTTTGAAAACCGGGCTGCACAACAGGCTCAAACGTCAGCTCCTGTTCTTACAAGTTACCATTATTTATAGAGCCAGTTCACGCTAAATACAAAATAAATATGTCAAGTTCAAGCATATATTTTCTCTCATGTTGTAATATTAAGTGATTATCCTCATTAGGAAACACTGAGCTGTAGGGGAAGATCCAGCTGTCACGTTAAAATAGGACTCGTGCATTTATGTTCCCTGTGCTTTTAGAAGATGACAACATAATTGCGAAACAAACTATCACAAATACACTGTAAACATTTCAGACCTGGTGTGCTGCTGAAGGTGGGAGAGCTGGCGAAAACATTTCTCACAGTAGGTACAGCGATAAGGTTTGACGCCCAGGTGTATGCGCAGGTGCTGGGCTAGGTAGGACGCGTTCGCAAAGGACTTGGTGCAGTGAGGGCACTTGTGAGCCTTCGCCTCTGTGTGTGTTTTGGAGTGAATCTGCATGTCTGACTTAGAGAAGAAGGTCAGCGGACAAACTTTACACCTGCGTCAAAAACAGAAACAGAGATGCACTTGTGAATATTCTTCCAACCCCCATTGTTTCAAAAAAACAGCAGAAGTGTCGCCAAACCCCTTTGCACGTTAACGCCGTGAGGAAGCTGTTAAAGCTATGAGGAAGTTCTTTCTTGTATTAATACTTAATACTAATTAATACTAACGAGCTGCTGTAAATGCAGGTCTTTTGCTACCTGTAGGTTTTTCCCTCTTTGGCAGCAATGGTGATGCATGACTGGTCGTTGCCTGAGGCTAGAAATGGGTAGGGCACCACCAAAAGAGATGACCCATTCTCTGCCTTTATCTTCTTGCGTCCTCGTTCCTGCTTTGGAGGAGGACCGAGGAGTCCCACAAGTCCACCGCTGTTTTTCCCAGGCTCCATGCCGTGGCCGGCCAACCCTGAGATGAGGTGAGGGGAGGGAGCTCCACCCAGCCGGCTGTGGCTGCTTGAGGTGGGCGTGGTGGGGGTGATGATCTCCGAGGTGTTTAGGTTGCCTGTTCTGGATGCCAGCGCCACACCTAACAGATGGAAGACAAAGACATGATTGCAAAGCGTTTACCTTTCAGCTGGCATAAATCCAGAGAGGATCAAATAGATATTCAAAGATATTTCATATTTCCTGGGGTCTCCAAATGTTTCATTTTAATTTAACGGTGAAGATAGCATCTGTCTAGTGATTCATTAGCTTGTAGAACAACCTTTAACACCAATAACTTGAATTAAACGTTTTCTCTTTGACACCACTTTACAGTGTGTCTTTGGTTCGCTGAGGTGAAATTAAGGTACTGCCACAAAATTTTGAGGTGTGGACTTTGTAACACTGTGATTTTTTCTTTTTCAGCCTTTCTGTTGTAGATGTTGCTGCTCTGCTCGTGATCTATCTTGTCCCGTTGCTGAATCTGGAATATTTTGGTATACAGAGGAGCTCATAGTTGACTTTAGGACCTCAAGGTGCCTCTTGCTGAAAAACAAGCCCAAATCATCTCCCCTCCACTACCATGCTTGACAGTTGCTATGAGGGGAGTGTGTTTAAATACTGTGCCTTATGGTCAAACATCCCCACTTTGTTTCAGGACTGATTTGTTCAGATGCAACTTTTCAAACCTAAGGTGTGCTGCTATGTTGTTTTCAGAGAATAGAGGTTTTCTTCCAACAATCCTTCAAGCTAGTTCAGTTTCTCTGAGCATTGCACGGTCTGACCTCGGGGTGAATTTGCTGGGACATCCACTCCTGGCAGGAATGTGGCCTTGTGTTCACACACATACCTGAATGCTTCAGACCAGCAAACCAACAAAACTTCTACTTTTATAGAGCTGCTCTCACTTGCTGATCGTCAATTATTCACATATTAGCAGCACCTGGTTTCTACTTACCCTTTAACTTCACATGGAAGCAGTAAAAGTGTACTAGTGTTTCCACTTTTTCACAGGACTGCACACACAAGTATTATTTGCCTGGCAATAGGACTGGCATGACTTCATTAAGCCGTGACACAGTTTAGGCACCTGGACACAATAATGCTGCACGTTGTAGCATGCCACAGAAAATCTATAAATTTGCATGTACAATCAAATGGAAATAACTTGATGCTGCATCTGAGTTTAGTTGATCCATTTTACAATGATAAATATCCCAGTCTGCAGGTGCTTAAGAGCACAGGTAGAGTTTAAACTGCAGTTCCTTAGTTTAGGTTACCATGTGGCTTTGCTCACATTGTCTACATCCATCCATCCATTTAAATTCTCTCATCTTAAAATACAATGTATTCATTATAAAGCTGTGAAATCTTAGTGTTTAAAGTTAGCTCTGTAAATATGGTAAAAGGTAAATGGCTGTTATCGAACACTTTGCTACTCAACTTAAGCACTTTATAAAATATGCCTCATTGACACCCATTCATTCAATCACATTTTCTGAACCTAAATGCTTTCTAGCTAACATTTATACACATTGATACACCAAGATGAATACACCGAGAGCATCTTGGAGATCTGTATCTCACCAAGGATACTTTGGCATGGAGACTGGACCAGCCAGCCACCAACCTTTCGATTAGGTTGACCTGCTCTACCTCCTGAGCTACAGCCACACCCATAAATATGTTTGTAATTCTAAATAATCAATAAAATCTGCAGAAATCTGCATGGTTACCTGAGACGTGGTTTGTTCTGGAAGGATGATCTATGAGTTGACGCAGATGCCAGTCTTCCCATAATCCTCTGGCTTTTATAGCTGCCTTGTCATCTAGATTCAAGTTTACATCTCCAAGAATACGGCCTGAAAGACAACCACACACACACAGCCTGTGTAATTACAGACTAAATGCAATGAAATGACATTACAGTAAAATTATTAAAGAAATTTCACCAAATTTGAAGAATACACACACATATATGTGCGCCCTTACATAACTGTAACTTCCTGATATGTGGACATGTGAATAGACTTTTCATTACTAATTATATTAGCCTTTAATGAGGCAAATGACTCTTTGCAGGAGACTAAGGAAACTGGTGTGTACTTAGCGCTGGAGTACCTGTGACTGAGCTGGAGGCAGGGCGGGCGTGCAGGGCGATATCAGGCTGAGATGGGCTGTGGTTGTGAAGAACAGGCATCTGCTGGGCTTTGGATATCCCATGCTGGCCGCCTTCTGGCTGGCTGGAGGTAGCCAATAGAGGCTGCTGGGAAGGGGCTGAAGCAGGGGGCAGATGATGCGGTCTGATCTTCTCCGCCATCAGCTGCTCCTTGATTTTATTGATCAATACTAGGTTATCCAGCTGACAGCCAGAAAACAACATTTGTGACAAGAAAACAGCCATCAGTTCAGTCAGTCAGTTCATAAGGAAATGGTTCCCTCTTGTGGCTAACACCTGATATTACATGCGTTTCCAGCCATTTCCCTTTGGAGGCGCTTTTTTTTAAAATGATTTTTAAAACCAGAAAGAAGCCCAAATAGGTAGTAGCTGCTGAATAATGCAGAAAAAAATTAAAAATAAAACGTGACTTCCTCTGAGTGATCTTCAACAATCCTTGGTTTCAAGGTTTGTATGACTGTTATTTAAACATACACTTACACTTTCTCTATATTCATTTTATTGACAGTATTCAGATGGGAAGATTTATGCTAACTGTGTTGCCAAAACTAATCGGCAGTTAGCACAACTTAGCTTAAAGAATGGAAAAAATGTTTTAAAAAATAAAAAACTAGCCTAGCTCTCTCCAAATTAAAAAGCTTTTCCCCAACATGCCACACCTGTTTAACTGCAATAAATAAATTAAAAAAAACATGAAAATAAATCAGAATGTAGTTTTACCCGAAGTTATGTGTATATCTTAGCCACACAATGCTAAGCTATAAAATATTTCAGTGCTAACCACCTTCAAAATCACAGCTTTTTAAATATTAAATATTGTTTTTTCCCCAGGTTAATCGAATTACATATCAACATTTAAGGATTTAGTTGTGCTCATGTTTTTATTTAAATCACTGTACATACAGTAGTTATGTGCTTTTTTAAAAAAAGAAAAATTCATGCTAGGCTAAGCTAAATACTTTCTGGTTGTAGCTCTATATTTAACAAACAAATATTAAAATTTAATTATGTCAGAAAAACTAATAAATGTTTCCAAGTGCAGTAAGGTGCAAACATCGTAAGCTGCCCCTCATTTCTGTATGTTTTGCTAGGTAAATAGATACAGGCTAGGTGATTTACTGAAACGTGCTAGCATAAAGGTAAAACATACTTTTTTTAAGTGTACATTTCTAACAAGCTTAAAGGCAAATATTTTCCAAGGCAGTGTTTAATTTTCAAGGTTGCCATTCACAACCTGAACTGTTAGGCAAGCTTTCTTTCTTTAAGTAGTCTTCAGGAATAGTTCTCCAGACTTGTTCAAGGACATTCAAAGCTCTTCTTTGTGTGTTGGCTGCCTTTTTTTTCTAGTCTCTATTGTGATGATTTCACATTGCTTCAATATTGTTGCGGTATGGGCTCTGGAGAGACCAATCTAATCTATGACTGATAGAGTTGCACTGAGTTTTTATATCCAGGTATTCTTTTAATGCATTGGCAGTGTGTTTGGGATCATTGTCAGGCTTTGAAATGCTTTCCAGTTGGTATTGCATGGTGGTTCAGCCAACTGCATTCATAATTCATCAATTTTGACAAGATCTGCAACAGTACTGGCTAAAATGTAGCACCAAAGTACGAAAGATGCTCCACTGTATTTACGCATGACACACTCACCTCTCCACCTTTATCATGATCTCTGCCATATATATATATATACACACCTCAGTTTTTTTTCTCCCTGGTTCCCTCCTTAAGAATGACTTCTCATTAGCCACCCTTCCATTGTACACAAAACCAAGATATACCAGGTTTTCAGTTAGTACCTCTTTTGGAATTACCTTGTTGGTGTAAAAATACTGTTTTATGCCTTCAAACGGTTTTAATTTTGGCATGTTTCATAGATCGTTATATTTAGACACCACACTGGTTGATCGCTCGAGTTTGGTGCTTTGTTTAAGCTTGACTGATTCATAAATCTGTTCCTCTGACAATGGTCAGGTACAAGGACTGGACTGAAAAGTGAAAACGCAGCCATGGTCCAAAGAACAACTTTAAGAGTCTGGACAACTACTGCCCAAGACCTATTTAAAACACTACAACAACACCTGGCTCTTTGGAAGCAAATTATGAAGAAATGAAATATTGAATGCTCTATTTGTCTAGATCATTTAAAAATATATATATTTTAAAACAAAAACAAAAAAATATTCTAAACAGTCATGTAGAGTGTAGTGTTAAGATGTTTAGAAACAAGGGTGAATACCACAGTCACTCACCTGACCAGGCATGGCAGGAGGGGGAGGCCAAAAATAAGGGTTGTTAAAGCGGGGTTCAGCCATCCTGTAATAAATACATAGGGGTTATAAAAAAGGTGAACGGTGCTCTAAATGCTCAGGACTGAGGAAACATCTGTAGTCAGACTTACAAGACAGGGATATCCACATTTACGTGTGATACCTTATCCCTGGTTCCACAGGTGAGTGATTGTTTTTAAGTTTTAAATAACAATGCAGGAAGTTATTTTGAGCACCCTTCACCAGTTTGCGGCTCCTCAGATTGATCTTGTTTGAACCCACTGTTGTGAGAATCCTGGTAAAACGATGTCCTATATATATTTATGTGTGGATCTGTTGTTCATGTAGCACACAGCGGTTAAAACATGTGTCAGTAGCTCTCCACCCGTGCAGCAGCTGACTGTTAGATGTGATAATTTGAGATAATCTTTTCCAGTCTTGTGACAGCATTTTCAAAGAAACCCTGTATGAGTCCTCCTGCTTCCCGAAAAGTGTGTGAGAAAATGCTGTTTTCTCACACTTCATCTTCATCACTGATAGCAGGGAGGATGCTTCCAAGTTGCATTCGGTGAGTTTTTTTTTTTTTTTTGGGGGGGGGGGGGAGTGATGTCAGGCTTTTCCTTAAGATCTCCAACCACAAGTCAGCATGATGGGCATGCTGCCCGAGAGAGAGGCTCACGCAAGATTACAACAGCCAGCTAGAGGAACAGTTATCAGAGAAAACAGAAATGTTAGAAGCAAAGTGGCTCAGATCGTAATCACCCGCTTTTTCTGTCTCCACCTTGACACATGGGGCCCCGACTGGTTAAGAGTCTGATGGGCAACAGAGCAAAGTTTGCACAGAGTACAGCAAGACCCAAAAGACAGCCAGTGCCTAAACCAGAAGGTCAGTAATCCAATTATAAACACAGACTACAAGTATTGCTTCACAGACACAACATGCTACACTCATTTGTAAATGACACAGCTGTTAACCTTAATTGTTTTCTTCCCTGGTTGACTACGATGGCACAATGCGAGCACAAACCTAACAGTGCTTTATCGAGAAGCTGGTTTGACCAGGCGGCCAGAAACGCTCCTATTTTTCAGGCAGAGAACGTTACTAACTGCTCAAGTCCTGACCCGAAGGCCTTTCTTTCCATAACTTCTCTTTTCAACCCTGTATGAAGTTCTTTTTAAAACATTTCGCATTGCATGCTTTGGCACACATCCCCATTCCTAAGTCTGTTTGGCTTAGCAGAGGCAGAACAGAGTCCACATGAGTGAGCCAAGAGAAACAAAACTGATATGTTCAGGGGTACGAGCGTACAGTGCACCCCACAAAATATTTCTCTAATGATGCCAGCGGGGATACGTTTCAGTTCCCGGACCATTTCTGTCTTAAGGCAGCAGGCACAGTTTAGCAGTCCGTCTGGCAGCGGACAGCTTTGTGGCACTTTCAGACGCGACATCCTGACACACTGAAAACGCATGCAACAGCAGCGAAATGCTCAAGTCGTCAGCAGTCAATCCGCAGGTTAATTTTTACGTCCTATACAGTCAGGACTGCATTGCTTTGCTCATTTAAGGACTGATTGTGCCAATTTTGGCCAGATTAGTTTCATTTTTTGTAGTACTGCATCTGACCTTGAGTATGGCAAGTTAAAGGTGCAATTATTTCCAGTCTATGGTTACTCTTGCTACAAAAGAAAAGTTAATCCAGGTGTTCAAGTTTTAAAAAAACCCAAAACAAAACAAAAAAAAAAATCACACGATGCAACAGCATGAAATGTCACTTAATAATGCTGTTTAAAACTCTGAGGTTACTGTGACACTTTTAAAATGTTACTGGTTTTATTCAGAAGAAATAAACTCCTGCAGGTGATGAATTAATTAAATCATATGATGCACTTGGACACATCACCCTTCTAGGCTAATGTGGCAGCTTTAGGCTTTTACCGTGACAAGGTCTGACCTGTCACCTTCTGAAATGTAGGTTTTAAACATGTTCATGTTTACAGCCACAGACATGGCAGATTAAAGTTCCCTATTTTGGGTTCGTTAATATTTATACCGTGATACTTTGTGGTTATTATGACTATTTATTAATAGATTAGCAATATTAATAAGAGAAAGGGGTGTGAATATACACCCAGAAAATAGAAATCATGAAGCGATCTTTTGTAGCTTAAATAATTGGGTTAAATAACATTTTCCTTCGACTTTTAAAGCTTTAATAAGGCTTCAAAAACAATCACGGTAAACATGCTTCATGCTGTTAATTTTGCATGAACTGTTATTGAATAAGTAGACTAATATATCTGCACATTTTTAGAGTCTAACGATCACACAGTTGGTTAGTCAGTCTCGGTCTGCTGGCAGCACATTTTAAATCCAGAACATCCTCTTTAAACCTCAATATTTCAGCTTTAAAAATAGATCAGACTTCGAGATTGCCTCTAAAAATTGAAATCCAACTTTCCCTGAAACAAAAGTTGCCGTTAACTTTCCCCATTTCTGTACCCGCTCTGCTTTTTTAACCCTCCGTTAAAAACAAAAAAGGGATCCGCTGTGCAAATCTTAACCCGAGCAGCTTTAAACACGAGCCGTTCCCTCCGGAGAGACACGATCCTCCGCTCTCCCCGGCCTGTCCGCCGCCTCTCCCACATTCTCAGACAGTTTATTAAAAAATTTCAGACAAAAGGAAAACAAAAATGGCAGCCCAGTCTTATTTTTATAAGCACTGGACGCCATATTCTGCAGATCCGAATATTATAAGCAGATAATTCTCCGGATGTGATTAAACGCTGCTGCGACGCATCTGCTAGCGGCATGTTTGCATTAAGCGTACGAATGATTGTTTACTTTGATTTGCAGGTTTGAATAGCCCGGCTCGGGGAGGAGGAAAAAAAAAAAGCCCTGACACTTCCTACAACAATCATCATGCCTTTGCTGAATGCTCTGCAGCTGCTGAGCCATAAATCCAAACGTCGATGATAATCCTGACGCGCCGTGGAAGCTTTAAGTGGCACTGCGGCCGAAAAACGAAGTGATTATTCGCCATTAATGCGCTGCAAATGCGCTTTTTTGTAATTCCAACTTTTGCATGACTTAAATAAAAACGGTGACGAAGCGACACGGAGCAGCTGCGTGTGTGTGTGAGCGAGAGAGAGAGGGGGTAAGGAGGGTAAAAAAAAGCAAAAAGAGGCAGAGAAATTGCATCGAGTGGCCAACGTACCTGAACCAGCGAGCAAGGAAACAATTTTTAAAAAAGGATTAGAGTCTTCTTTCTGCTCGCTCTCAGTCGGACTTCAAATCTTCCGGGTCGCCTGCTGTTCACTTCTGGGTGCTGCAGGCGAGGAATTGTTCAATGTAAAAACACTGCGCTCAAACAGATTTTTTAACCCATTTTCTGGCTTCTGGTTTCCTCGCAGATGTTGTGCGCATTTGCGCTGTAGCGTTAGATACACAATGGAAAAGTTCACATTTATCTGTGCACTGATTGTTTTGGCAGTAAGACATTTTATCTTATTTTATTTTATTTAGTGTTATATTATATATTTGCATATGAAAGGGTGTCTCTTTCTTGTGTCATCGCTGAGAACAGGTGTGCACACAAATAATAAAACACAAGTCCAGCTGAGGTTTTTTTTTATTTTTGCTTTTGTTCGGTTTTTTTCCTCCATCAGAGAGAGCGAGAGAGAGAGAGAGGTGGGGTAACAAGTGCGCAGCCTAACAGTGGGATTTGCCCTATGCAGGTGTAATCTGTTACACGGTCTGTAAAAAGCTGGCGCCCGTGTGTAGGAGATCACGATGGTCATGCACACATATGAAGTGTAATCCTCTCAGCAGCAGCAGCATGACAGGCTGCTAATATGCTCTGTGCTTAGCTCAGCAGGAGATGGCACTGCTGCCACAGAGAGGGCTTCAGCTGATGGTGAAGGTTTTGCCTCAATGATGAAAACAGGAGATATTTAGCATAGTCCCTTTACATTAGGGAATGGGACATCTCTAAACTACCACTGGTCATTTATTACTGGAGGTAATGCCTGTGGTGGTTTATTGTATCTAACAATCCATTATTTAAGGGGCCGATTGAGGCAGTATAAAACTGTCAGTGTGGTTCTCCAAAAGTTGATTCTGTCCATCTGGAACGTAGTTTTTTCAGTTTTTTTTCCACTGAAAACACTACATCCAGATGAACAGAATCAACTTTTGGAGATTTATTTACCTGGATGATTGAGCGTGCATCAAGATGTCAGTGTGGTTCTTTAGTGATTGAAGAAAGGGGCTCATTAGTGCGAAGTGAATCTTCTAAAAATTGTAATTTAATTATTTAATGTTTTTAGGTTTTTACATGCCCTCTCACTCTTCTTTGAGGTAATACTAGCATGTATTGAAGTAATCTCAGACTTTTATGTTTTTAGCAGCAGACATGCTGAACTGAAAATGGGGCTGTCGGTTTTTACAAACAAAGGTTTTGTTTAAATAAGAATAGGATTTGTGTTTTTTTTCATAGCGTTCATGGTCCATCCTGTGAAGTGCAAAAACACTGTGCTGTTTCTTTGTCACTGGGCAGAAATGAGTTTGAAGGAGACAAGTTCAAGAGTGGTGAGTTTGGATTTTGCTTCAAAACAATTAATGTGTTAATGTGATGTTTTAGTAAGGTGGGTCATTTTTAATCCATTTGGTTGCTAGGATACTTGAGGAAGTAATAATATAGGATGTAGATAAGAACCTTCAATGGTCTATGATGTACCTGTGAGACAGGTTTGGTGTCCTGAGTGACTAGGAGGATGTATGTGGACAGATGGAAGTTTGGAAGAGTCTAATGAAGAATTACTGCTGGTCTGTTTTTTTATTTTGTTTTGTTTTGTTTTTCCCTTGGTGATGACATACTGCATGGCTACATTTGCACCACATATAGTAGTAATTAGCACTTTTTCTTGGATTTTGTTCCTTGTGTGAAACGTCTGTTTGATCAGATGTGAAAGCCACGGAGTGCTTTCTTTCTTTCTTTTTTGTAAAATTAAATTTTTGAACTGTATTTGTACATGAATGTGAATATTTTCTTTAGTGATTTATCTTTTACCGCATACAGAAATTTGTCCGTGTTGCTTTAACTTTTTTCCCAGCCCGTCACACTGCACAATGTCACAGCCATCAGTGTTAGCTTTAGTCCTGTAGCAGGGTGGAGCAAACCAACTTTGATACCTGCTTATAAAAGCGCTTAGACTGATGCCTGTTCTTCAGTGTGATGTTTTACTGCAGGTGTAACATATACTTTATGCTATAACATGCTGAATTGTAAGCTTGGCTTTGACACAAAAATCTCTCTAAAAAAAGAATTTCAAGGGACAATCCCAACATTTTTAAACAGCATGGCACATTTATGGATTATATTTGACTAACATTGTTTGAAAGCACACATCCTCGTGATTTAATTGCTGTAAACTGTTTTAAGGTGCCAATATCACACCGGCGGTCGTTCTTTACTTTCTGATAAGACTGTTTACACAGCTGAGTGTGCTTCTTACATTTTCTGTTGACTGTAGGGGTCCATTTTTGTTTGACGTGCTGAGCTGCACTTGATGCTTCAAGCTTTTTGTCTTTGCTTGTAAAAGTAGGCTGAATATTTGGTGTTAATCTAATAATATCCAGCAACATAGAACAGAGCCTTAATAAGATCAGATGATTTAGTCCAGAACTGTTGCATTATTGGGGTTTTTAACCTGCCAACAAGCAGCCTTAATGAATGATTTTCTTTAATGTGTCATTTACTAACATGCTGCAGCTCTCTTTACTCTCTGCATCCTCTTAACTATATTTGCTGTTAGCATAAGCGTAAGCGCTCACACACACAAACATTCAAATCTATGTAAAATGCATATCTCAGTGGGACTTCACCTCTTCCATCTTTGAAATGAGTCAGAGAAAACAAAATGCATTCAAATGCCACTAAATACAAAGCAGGTGCACATAGAGAGCAGTGGGCTCTGATTTAATTGGCAGATCTCTGACTCCACATTTGTGGCTCTTACTTGGGCTGAAAGTAAATGTGGTCAGCTCATATTTGCCAAGGAATAACACTATAACATAGGTAATGGCTGCATTTTTCCTTTTTTGTTTGTTGCCTCAAAGTTTAATTCCAACATACATACAAATTTATCTTAACTAACACATCCAGCTGTTTTTCATGGTGGCTGCAGCCAAAGCAGAGGTGCCCATGCCACCGCTTTCCCCCTTCCACCTCCTCCTGGTCTTCTGGGAGGCACCAAGGATTCTCTCACCTAGTCAGATGCAAACTAAAGTGTTCCTTTCACCCTGTTTTGATTTAAACTAAGCAAAATGTTTGGAAATGAGTTGCTGATTTATTATGGGAAATAATTCAATTTGCAAATGTCATCATTGTTGTTACATAAGATGTTGAAAACGCATTTGTATTTCATCATCTATTTAAAATCACATTTAACACCCCAGTCTAACAGCTAGCTAATTGTGACGCCAGCGTTCTTTTCTCCTGTATGATCAAAGTTTTTGGGAGTACTCTATTACAAATAAATGATAAACACACACACACACTTCACTGTTTATTTATCACATTTCACTTTCTGCTTTAGCTTCTCTATAGTTATCTGTCCTGTCTGTCTTGTGTTCACTTTTACTTCCTCTTGTTTCCCTGATTGTTTGCACCTGTGTTGTTCCCCAGCTATATTCACTTCCCGTGGGGAGCCACGTGCATTTAAGTAGCCAGTTTTCTACTTATCGTTTGTCAGTGTATTTGTTATTCCACCCTGAGATGTTTCTAACATGTTTTGTATTTGTTTCCTGGATTTATTTTTTCTTTGGACCATTTCCTACTATGCTTGAAGTTTTAGTTCTGTCTGCCTGAGTTTAAGTCTGCATTTGGGGTCCTCTGACACACACACATCATGACACTATTATGCCATAGAAATCGGTGTTGGGGTCTCTCATGAATAGGCTCAGTTTTTAGGAACGCTTTTGTAAGTTTAGATGGTTCCTTCACTGTATTTTGCAGGATATCTGGGCTCTCACTTAGAGATAGAAGGAAAAGCTCAATCTTTCAGAGGGACTCTGAATAAAGCTATTGCTCCTCCGGATCAAAAGCAGCCAGTTCAGGTGGTAACCAGGCATCCTAGTCAGGTGACTGCTGGACGCCTCATAGGTGAGGTGTTACAGGTATTTCCTATTAGCAGAATGGCCACGGGGGAAACCCAAGACTCGCTAAAGATATTACATCTTTCACCTGATGAGCTGATAGAGATAGCCATAGTGAGGGAACTTGGGGCTTCTCTGCTCAGACTGCTGCCCCCCAAAACACAAACCCGGATAAGTGGTAGAAAATACATGATTGGCTTTTCAGGCAGCCACTAAAATGGACGTCAAAATTTCAAGCCTAGACTGCCCTTGGAGGACATCACAAGATTATTTTCCTTTTGTTCCATTATATTTATATATATATATATATAT